TGCTAGTCTGGCACTCTAACCGCACGGCCACTACCGTCGGTAAATGATATATGATATTTTTATATTAATTATATTTGATGCTACAATAATTAGTAATAACCGTGAATTATGGAGGGCGATGGGCAATGGAAAAAAAAGAAAAAACTTCAATAACGTTGCAAGGACGTAGCCAACTGGAATACATCTGATACCATCTTAAGCAGGCCTGGGCAAAATCGGACCTTCGGGAGCCGGGGCCATAAAATGCTATCAGACCCATTATTAGAAATACAATACCCCAATTAGGTGCAGCCCAGCGCAGTGTGCATGGGAGTATAACAGCGTGCATGAAGTGGGGCGCAGTGAGACAGAGAGAGCGATGCGCGTTTTCTTTTGAAATATAAAAAACCTTACCGCCTAAAAATTCGAACAAATTTTCACCAATTCAACATGAAATATCCTTAGTTGTATTGGGGGTAATTGTTCAAACACCATGGTACCAGAAATTGATTATTTCTCGATTATTTTAATAGTGAATAATTATTTTATTAAAATCAATGAATCAACAAATGAATTATGAATGTAAGGTTTATTTTGTAAGTTTTGCCCACTCTTGGCCAGATCACACATTTTCTAATCTATGAACATCTTTCAATTACCTTTGCTCGATCACTCTCTGCAGCTAATTATTTTTATGTTTTTTTGCAATAATTATTCATGATCGTGTTTAACTGGAAATGGATGAATTTTTAAATGTTTAACAGTGGGATCGATATTAATGAAAAAAACTTTAACAAGACATGAAATAATAGAATTCAAATTTGTTGTTTCCTTGTGCTTTTTCGAGGGCATAAATCTTTTAAATTGTTTAAATGCTGCTTAGGAAATGTTCAAACAATATTAATAAAAATTAAAAAATCTTTTCACAGGTGCTTTTCAATTCATTTCCTGCTGAAATATTCAATTCTGAGTGATTTATTCAATGAAATTCTATGCGAAAGTTGATATAAGAAAACATGATTAATTAATATTTTTTAACAATGCAAAATACAGCAAGAAATATATTTATATTGTGACACGTCAATAGAAATTCCCCCAACGTCAGTCTCAAAACCCACAAATGGGAAATTATTGAGAATCTAAGCCAGTGTAACTAAACTAATGTTACGTCATTGCTGGCCAATCAGGAGGCCCAGCCCTTATTTCGTCGACGGAGTTGTGTCGGAATATCAATTTTCCGATGGGAGTACGTCCAACACGTGTCCAGTGTTGGTGTGTAAAATTGTCTATCGCCTCACACCACGCCAGGGGAGACTATTCTACGGAAGCATTGTAACTAGCCCTCCGTCCTTGTCTTACTCTCTCTTTGGCTTTCTACAGGGTCTCCAAAGTCGAGGCCACCCCAATAACGAAATCTCATGTTCTAATTTCAAATTATTGTCATTTACTAAGTTGTCAATCTTGATAAAATTGACTGGCGCCCAACTTTTCTTTAATAATTAAATTACCTTGAGCCCCGACAGCTCCTGAACCACGGCGCGTCGAGTGAAATCTTTGTCAATTCCTTTATTTAAATTATTATAAGTCAAGGGAAAAACAAGATTTAGTCTCAATATTTTTCGCTCAAAAATTTAAATTTTCACGCTTTGACTGACGTAACGATACCCCCACTCTGACCCAAGCATCGTGATCTCGCCTCTCCGACTACAGTAGGACCCATTCTTTTATAGTCATTTTCCTAATTGGGGTTGGGAGCTAGGTGAGCGCATCGAGTGTACTTTGTCCATTCCTAATCTTAAGGGCCATAAAATGTCCTTCAAAATGGTAAAATTGGAACTATAAAAAAACTTAACCAAAGTGGTGATTTAATCAAAACATAAAAATTCCACTTAAAAGAACATAACTCTATGAAAAATATTGTGAATTACGTAACTCATCTATGTTTTTTAAGCTTATTTGTTTAGCTTTTATATGAACGAAAGGGATATATTAATATGAAATCAACGCGAAAGGAAGAGAGCAAATAGCCATGAATGGAAAACAATGAGGGTATTACGGACTGAAATTATTTACGTATGAATTAATAATAATGATAATTCTCTATTTTGACGTTCACATGATAAAATAACCGTGAATATATCGAAAATTCAATGAACAACTTGAATTTGATGGGAAATTCAATTGTATTTGTTATTGAATTTTCGAGATAAATGAAAAATTTAGTAATTGTTTTTGCATCCAAACTTATGCATTGAAAATTCAGATGCCCGGGTGGTTGAAACAAGAACTGTGAGGACTTGTATTTAATGTCTAATGTTTGAAATAAGTACATTGATTATTATTATTCATTAAGTAAGATTAGATTTATGAGAACAAATAATAATTACATGCAGTTTCTGGAAATTCTAGCCAGTAACTTGAAACTTGATGTGTCACTTCCCCAACAAATAAGTTCACTTGAATTTCCATTCCTCCGTACGATCCTTCGTCACTGCCCAAAAACCCTGAAATTTCGAACTGAAATTACCTAACATATTCGGAGTGGTTTGGTTCAAGTTTTCAAAGTCTAGGGCGTCAACGAACATTGTACTGCAGGTACTGGATGGACAGCCGAAGGGCTATACCGTATACTCCGTGTCTGGAGAGTCTTACGTGCTTGCAAAGGCCACGACGTGGATTAATGCTTGAGGTATACTCGAGTTAAGGGTACGGATAAGTTGAACCTAGTCTGAAAACCCCTATGTAAGAACCTCATCCTTGTATTTGTGTGAGTACTCGGCCATTGTATCACTAGACCCACCATTGAGATGAGTTTCACTGAGGCAACATTTCAACTGGTCTTTTCAATCGTTCAGTCGTATGTATACTGTGTTTCATCCATGTATCGTTGAAGTTGTTAGGAGTGAAGCCAACTCTTGACCGCTTCAGCAATCGCACTCACTTCATTTTTTCTATTCATTCGTTTGGACTTTTAGCACCTTTTTCCATTCAATTTTTTGGTATTGGACATTTTAGCACTGCATTTTTTCATAGGTATTTTGAATAATCTATTTAGACCTACAGTCCCCTATTAGCCTGTTATCCCTCGAAAATATTCCCCTACTTCGCATGCATTTGCATTTCCAAGGAAATCGCCTCAAGATTATGTAAAAACCGGCAAACTATCAAGGAATTCTATTGTTGTTTTCATTAGTAACGTACATGAATCAAGTAGATGCCCAGGTATTTGGATCGTACTAGGGCTATAAAAGAATACGAAAACTATATTCAAGTGTGTGTATACATTTCGAGCTTATATCAAGGAAAAACCACTGAATGACGATCAATAGCGTAAATACGTGCTCGGCACTTTCTTTTTTCTCTCACTCTATATTTTTATCAATAAATATGAATTCTCAAATGATATGATAAAAATTCTGCAATTCGTTTTATATCATCTATACTGAACCTCTTCTGTTTATTGTTTTTACCTATTCATAGGTCTCATGTATCCAACTTCCGGATGTCAATAAACCTGTGCTAGGTTATGAAAGTATATTCTTACGAATACTGGCTGCATTATATTATTATGGAATAGGGACGATACGAAAAATGGACCAACCATGCAAAACCAATGGAAATCACCTTTAATCATGAGAGCAAAATGGGTGAATAATGAAAATGTCTATTTTTTAATTTTCCAACTTTATTTAGCAATGAGAACGGAATAGGTTGAAAATCGTGGATGAAAAATTAATGCAGGGTGGAAAGAAAGAAGGAAAAAATGGGACTAAACTGAAATGAAGCTGCTTCGAAAGAGCAGTTCTAGAGTCCAGTAAAAGATTACAGAGGTTGATGATAGGAATAGGTAAAACTGTCGCTAGGCAAGACAAGAGCAGAATATATAATTCTCTCGTATTCTCTTGCCACGTGGCAGGAACTCTCTCATCTCGTCTTGTATCTTCTGACAAGGAAAAACTCTTGGCTTGTCTTGTCGAGAGAACGAGTCTCTCGTCATCTCATCTAAGTCATCTTCAATCTATGCGCTCTGAAAAAAGGGGGGGGGGGGGTCCTCTCGTAGTGAGGACCCCAGTAACGAAATCGTCTCAGGACCGATTAGCCGGTGATATGGTTACATTGCTGATATGAATAGTTAAAATTTCTTTGTATGTGATTTTGGTCTCGAATGTCCTATTGGAATATTGAAGTCAGATAGCGAATTAGTATTTTGTCAAGTGGATGTGATTATTGAAACTCATGAAGCTTTTCATTTTGTTATGAATGAGTTTTGCAAAAGCAGTATTGATGAACACCTCCAAGTATACGAAGTCGTACGCAGTCAAAGATGGTATTTCATTGACGATGTTAAGCAAGTAAGCCGTATGAAGTTGAATTTACTTTTTAAGTTCATTAATATTTGTAATACCAATAAGAATAAATGAATAAAGAAATCATAATAAGTATAATTGAAAAGATTATTTATGGAACTCAAAAGAAATTACATTCTCTATTGCTAAACTAATAGAACAAAACTGAAACCCAAAAATAAAAAAAGAATATTTAAAATATCAAATATAAAAGTGATAATATGAAAAATTAATCATTTAAATTTGAAATTTTATTTCTTTAGAAAGTATTATGTTGGTTTATCATTAACAGCGATTTTATTCATCTAAGCAATTGTTATGTTGCTTGTTAGAAAACATTGGTTTTTTTTCACGGGCTTTTCTATTGGATATAGCGATATTAAATTGAATTAGCGACACTGATCTTTGGAATTAGTCTTTTTTTTTAAAGTAAAAAAAATATTTTTCGATGTAAAAGTGCCAATTGGTTATTTTAAACAAATTTATTCAACTAAATGTTTAACAGGCCCAATCACATATGTGTTTATGACTATTCGGTCAAATCATTTATTAGTTTAAAACCCGCTGTTAAATTTACTAAATTCTTCCCTCAGTATGAAAGAAAAACCTGAAAGAGTAATTTATTGCCTAAACCTTTCATAACTCTGTGAGAAATGTTGAAATTTTGAGTTTTACCTTTCAATTGAAGGAGCTCATTCAATCAGCAGCCAATATGGAATTGCCGCTAGTAATTCATTCGAAAGCCTGAAATCCAGAAGTAAACCATACTAAAAATAGCGAATTCTCAATTTGTGAAATGCGAATTTTTACACTAGCACCCATACCAATTGATCAAGTGGATGGAATAAGAAACATGATACTCCATTTAAAAGGACTCATTGAAATCTTCAAAATGATGTATAATAAAGTCTCATTAGTCAAGCCCGAAGGTCCGTTAATAGATGAACAGACCGGATTCCAGGATTTTGCATGACGTTCAAAGGAGACGCAAAGTTCAACAGCTTCATGAAAAACCCACTGGTATTCAGCATATCACAATCTAAGATGATGAATATAATGAAATAATATTTTTATTGAATCGACTTGGAGAAATTGAAAAATTCAGTCCAAGTGGATATTTCAAATGAACCATGAAAATTAATTTTTGATAAAAACTTATAGTTTTGTGAAGAATCATCGGGATTGAATGATTCGCCTCTCGATTTGGAGCGTATTCAATAAACTCCACAGTCCATATAAGATTGACTAATACCTAAGCCAGGCCGGACATCCTTCAGGTAATCATTTTGGTCAAAAAATTTTCCCCGGCCTATTTAGAAACATATTTCTGGAAATTCCATTGTAAATTTTTCGATTTTACAAATGAAACTATCGGGTTTCTAAGCAAATTCACCTGTATGATAGTGCATCATATCAACCGTTTTTTCCATAGATCATCGTCATTAATCGGAAATCTCAGGCACACATGTCATGGAATAGGGAGAATTCCAGTTCTATCCTCGGCCAATTCCTTTATTAATGAAAACGGAAAATTAATAAATGTTTATCGATTTTTGGCACAAGTGGAAATTACACAAGTATTATTCATATCTCTCAAACATCCGTTCGAATAGTAGATTTCATTCCAGTCTATCAGTGCTGTATTCTTCGTCAGCTTTTAGAATTCTCATCAGTGATATTCATTTTCTCAAAAACGACTATTTATCCACAAATTATTTGTTTCACCTTATTGCGTAGAGTCATTGCTCCACGCGAACAGAAATATTCAAGAAAAATTACGGAACATTTCACGTAATTCCTCACATAAATTCTACAATCTGTTCCGTGAAAATGACTTATCAGCCCGATGCCTTACGGGTAAAGGGGGGATTTTTACGGAACGTTTCGTAATTTTTCCGGAAGATTCCGTAAAAATACTTAAATATCCAGGCATTTATTTGTTCTGAGGCATAATAAGTCTTGAAGTTTTCGGTGACAGAACTCGAAAATTTACTGCAAGTTCTAGATTTATTCCCCGAAAACGATTCTCGGTGGTGGATTACGTGAAATGTTCCGTAATTTTCCTCGAATATTTCTCTTCGTGCACCGCAGAATTTCGGGCAATTGTTTTATTTTACTTATTAAATAGCGGGAAATATTATCTCAACAGAAAATAATTGTTAAGGGTGATTCTTCATCATCGTAGCGCTAAAAATGGTTTTCCTACTATTGCTGACTATTTTTAATTTCATTTCATCTTTAAGGGGAAATTGCTATTTATCTTTAAGATTGATGGAAGGTTTAAAATGTCTGTTCGATCATACGGTCGCCCTCTGCTGGTATCAGTTGAACCAGGGTTCAAGGAGGGAGGTCAATTGAATTAGAGGAGGTATCTTCGTTAAGTGGATGAGGCCCATCTCCCAACTCACTAACTCACTAACGAAACTCGGGAGAAGCCTGACCCCAGTGAGCCCAGGTTACCGGCCCTGCTATAGGGCAGGGCTACCCACCCTCTGCTCTCAGAGCAAGTCGTGCTCCCGACCTCTATTAGTACATAACAAAGGGTAGACGAAAGCCCATTCTATCGGGTGATGGGCCTTTACGACCCAGGTTCTAAAGGCCCTTCTCTTTCGGTGAAATTCATCGAAGTGGGGTAACTCTTAAGAAAAAGAAAAGAGGAGAATTTATCGAATAGGTAAGTGTATTATAACGGAATAATGATAAAATTCTCAAATTGTATATTTCGTCACTAAACGCGAAACCGTAGAATGTAAGAACAATCGTCAAACCTTGATTTTTCATCACGATGTGCCGTAAAGTAACTTTTCAGTCACTAAAAAGTGACTTTCCAACACATTGTGAAGGGAAATATTATTCGCAACTCGTGCAGAAAACTAGTTGTGCCATGTGGAATTATACCAGTCGCCATCGGCTTGTGCTATAACCTCCAACGCGCCAAAAATCACTCTTCCGCACTTGTTATAAAATATACTATTTCTGCCGAGTGATGAACGCTATTTGTCATTCAATCCGTAGCCAACATTTTACGTCCGTGCAGCGTTGCTTTGCCGACTGAGTGAGAAAAAAAATTAAACATGTGCGATTGTCCTAAAATTCGTATATGATGGAGAAAATGGCAATGACTTTCACAGTGTTTTCCAGTGTTTTTACTATTGATTAATATAATATACATTCTGAAATATAGTATAATATAGAGTGATACTTATTGATTGAGAAAGTTAGTACACACCAAAGGTTCTCATTAAGAGAGATAGTAAAAGTTTCAAAATGGATTTTCTCAATTCTCAATTATTGTGAGCATTCCACCAACTCATATGTATCGGGTAGACGATCATGTATGGCGACTAATTAACCAACGTAATTTTTCAGTTTCATGGGGCCATTGAAATATCTTCTAACAATTTTATAACTTCCTTCATTAATTGCAGATCCCCTTTTTGAAATTCAAAATCACTTACGTAATTCACGCAACCGTCACACATTCGCACATCATTAACATTCATCTACATAGAATAATAAAGGAATACACGCTCTGAATCCTAGCCGTCAAAAGCCGTGTCACAATTTAGTAGGACTACTCACGGTTTGTGGTTAATTCATCTCGTTGCTTTTAATCATTGATTTTACCATGGTACCGCCCATCGTTTCACTGCTTATGAAACCGTAATACAGGTTAATGTCCGTCATGAATGGAAAATTACGAAACGTGATAAAAAGATCATTCTGCTAATTGTGAGAAATATGATAGGTCAGCATTCATTCATGAGGTGGAGAATTTTGTAATAATCCGGTCAATCCCTAGACCTTAATCATTAATGGACCCCTTCTCCATAAAGTCTGTATGGGGGTTACGCCTGAATGACGAATTGTACAGAAATTGCGGGTTACTTTGTCGTTACTACAAATTTCAATTTTCTTAACTTGAAATTTCAAGTGTAATTTCTCAATAGTATCTATTCCGCCAAAACTTTTTAAAACACGGAACTCCGAACGCGCGCTTGCGCACCCATAACAATTTGTCTGAAGAATTCTGGCACAGATTCAATCTGAAAGATTATGCCAATTGTGAAAAATCTTGTCTAGAAATAAATTCAAATAGATGACGATATGTATATGCTTTATGAGAAATTTTGTGTACAGGACAGTACATACACGCCACTGAAAGATGAAGTATGAGTGAAAATCAGTATAAATCGTAAACAATGAATGAACAATCAAAAATAAGTGTGATAGAGATGAAGCTTCAACTTTCGAGAGTTTCTATTTGATTCGATATAAATGTCGGTCTCCCTTGTACATAGAACTAGCGTCGACGCGGCCACGAACGCGATGTCTTTTCAATCTTTTTTTTTTCACTTCATTTTTCTCATTTTCTTCATTTTTTTCTCCAAAATTAATTAGTCACCAGTGTTCTCATGATGCTGAATGTTAATATTTGTGGAAATTATATTCACCACTGAATCAATTACAAAACTTATCAATAAATGATTTGCTAATTTTTAATAACTATCCTTAGTGACTCAAATTACATTCTCAGTAATTCTAATTGTAATTTATATAGGAATTCTCTTCAGAGTCTGACAATAATTATAAAATTTCATACGGCCAAGAATTTTCAATTTTTTGCATGTGCTCTCATCGCTCTTTACTCCCCTGTGAAAAGTCTCAATTATTTGACTGGACAAATAAACCGTGGAGTTATTTCTTCACTTCACTATTCCATTTGACAAATCCACTAATGAGAAAATTCGATCCTTCATCTCCAATCTGATCGAATTGTACATAAAATTCTACAATATTATTAATTTGGTTTCATGGGATAACAAAAATTTATGGAACTGAGGAAATTTTTTTTTATTCCCATTTCAACCAATCAGATTGCAGCCGTCATATCATTGATACCTTTTCAGTATAGTTGTTCTTTTTTATTTTAATTTGTAACAAAATTGATTTTTCCGTACTGCTTCTGATGATTTCTCATCTGGGAATTAGTACTTCATACTTCCCAAACTCGAAAACTTGGACATCAGTACGGAAAAATAATATTCAGACTGTTGGAATGAGGTTTGTTCACTACGTGTAGAATCTGGTGAGCCGAGGTGAAGTCGAGACGGCCAACCACACGAGTAAAAAACCCCACTCCAAAAATCCAGAAATATACTAATCCATAATCGCCCTCATTTTACGTATTATCAGATATTAATGATGATCAAACGCTTCATCGCGCTCCATTACCTACTCAACTTCAAAATTTCAATTAGTGATTTATTATTACAGAATTGTTAGGCTCCCTGAATAAAATTGTTGAAATAACTTGAAGCTACATGTTACTTAAAGGACAGTGATTTAGAAATTTCGTATAATATAAATTTGCTGGTTCTAATATTTACCGGTAATCCCGTCAACTTTGACTTTCGATAAATAATCTGAAATTCTAGTATCTTTCTATAAAATTTAGTAATTCTTGTAATTTTTTACTTTTGAATAGAAACCTTCAAACCGGTTGATTTTTCAAGTCGCAAATTCTACCGAAAACGAGAAAATACGAAATTTGAGCACCATGTATACTGGTGTTCGAAAGGATGTGTTAGTCATTTCCAAAAGTTTGATTCATTACAATATCAAAATAGCGAAAGCTGAAGCGTAGAATCTAAAATTTCATCACTTAATGGGTATTTTTGTGAAGCCTTTCTGCGGGCAATTTCAGGTCAAACAGCGGAGTTGTTTCAAAAGTACAGCAATTC